TTTATGCCTTACTATAATGTGATGTTTTTTGAAGTTTTTATGCCTTACTATACTATGACATTTTCTTCCTTTTCATAAAATGACATTTTATTCCTTCTCATACTCATACTCAAGCACACACGCACCTTTTATACATTTGTGGAAGTATGTACGTACTGTATGTGTGACAAGATGAAATTCCACCAGTTCTGAAAAACATTAATAATCAATCAATGGAGACAACACAGTTAAAAACATAGATCATTTATTAAAAGAACACATGCTGCTACAGTTGTTGGTAAAAACAGCTGCGGTAAGAGCACTGATACTGTAACAGTAGGAGAGTTACAACAGTAATGTTGGGGGGGGGTCACATCTTCTCCTATTATAGATCTCCACAGGAATACAAAACCACACTGTATCCTCACACAGGGAACAGACTCAATACAGCGCTCAATAAAAATAATACTAATGATATTAGTGTGTGTGTGTGTAGGTCAGCTCCTCAGGGCTCTGTCAGTCTGAGCTCTGCTGGCTGAATACTGTGACAGTGGTTGAGGGTTTGATTCCCTCAGAGCGACACACACAAACAGAGGTTGACTGTCCCTTTGTTCCTCTCAGCACAGAGCGAATCTGTCTGCTGGTTAAAGTCCGTAACACAAACAGGAAAAGAAGGAGGGAAACACAACGATATCTGATGTCACAGAAACATGAAAACAGAGGAAGAGAGGAACTGTGAGTGTGACTGACACCTTTAACAAAATGCTGTATCTTTGTTCAGTGGTAAATACGACTGCGACAACACGGTCAACTCCTCCAGACGACACAGTCACGTTATATAAACACCAGTCTGATTAAAGCAACTCTGCTGAGGCACTGGAAGCTTCACGTGGACACAAATTCATATCCATCAATTCTTAGTTCAGGTATTCTTCAGATACGTTGCTGTGAATTTGGTTCAGCTTCTGCGGAAGAAAATAAATTTACTATTTTGTCAATAAAATGTTTTTTTTGTCCAGCAAAAAAAAAAAATTTATTCAATTTTGTCAAAATATGCAACAGGGCACTTTTGTATTTCACTGATTAACAACCCTCATTGGTCATATAGTTTGTTTAGGATAAAGAGGACACTTCATTAATTTAATTACATTTTCTGCGGCATTTTGTGTCGTTAAATTTGTGTCCAGTTCAAGTTGCTGAATCAGTTTTGATTTTACAACAGACTGAGTTCAGGACGAAGGTGAAAGTGAGAAACGTGGTTCAGCACTTTGGAAACAAAGGCCTTTAAAAAAAACACCTGCTACAGATACAAGGTGTTTCTTTTCTTTTTTGACAAATGCTTCTGATTCAAAATCATATGTTACAATCAATGAATCAAACACAAACGTTCTGATATAACAGATCTGAACTATGACGGAGTATCAAGGCCAGGAGGAAAAACAAAGTCGTAATTTTTTTTTCTCTCCCGAAATTTTTGATTCTTGTAACATTACAACTTTCTTCTTGTAATATATGACTTTATTCTCAAAATTTCAGATTTCTTTTTTTCCTCAACATGGCCCTGATACTGCGTCGTAGAAAACACAAACTCCAAAGATAAAAAAAAGAAAGAAAAAAAGAAAACATTCAATAAGATAAACTGTCAATCACAAACGTCTCTATTGCAAACAGTTGCTACATCGCGTGTCACTGTCACAGGTTGATGGTTGTGTCATCTGTGACATCACACTGAGCAGTCAGGTAGTTTGTCACTGTTGTTGGGTAAAAACCCAGATTTCAGTCTTTGTGGTCGTTTGTGCGTCCAGAGATATGAGTGATCTTTAGGCCCTTGCTAACTGTTGAATCTCCACTTGGTTCATTCCAAAAATACAGTCAGAAAATAAGAGTTTTCATTTCTGAAAAATGTTCTCCAGGGTCTGTTGCTGCTTCAGTATGAAAACGCTTCATGTTTGTCCACGACCCTGTGAGCGAAGCAGCGTTGTGCTTTTTTCTTTCTGAAATGCTAACAGACATGAAGCCTTTAAAAGTATCAACACATGACTCTCAGTACAAATATGACGGTGTTGAGCTGGTTGGTTGGTTGGTCCAGAGTCAGAGATGTGACGGTCAGATCTCTGTGCTCTGGGCTGTGCTCTGGGCCACTGCCGGCCCAAAGTCAGAAACATGTAAAAATATTCTGCTTTGTGTCACAGCACCTTGGATCAGTGGTGATGGCTCAGGCTGATCTACAGAGAGGAGCTACTGAAGATGTCCTGGTCGTTTCTAAATGACCAAGACGTTTTATTTCTGACTGAGCCACTAACACCTTCCACCGTCGCTCCGGCTGTGGAAGACGAGGATTTCACTGTTCTCCAACACAGCGTGTGCATAGCTTGTTGTTGAACCAAAAAGCTAAGAGAAAATGTTGGTAGACTTCAGTTTCACTTTGTTCTGTGAGCGAGAAGACAGAGAGACACATTCAAAGACAAGTGATAAGACTCCTGAACCTCCTGCTGTTTGTGTTTGAGTGAAATCATCTTCAGTCCATCAGAGCTGCAGTTAAAGCTGCAGCAGGCAGGGTTTATAGAGACAGAGCTGGTTCCCATCAACAAACTTCTGTTTATGTACTAAAATGTATTTAGTAAATCTTTGAGACGAAAGAAACATTGTTTTTTTCTCTTGAAATTTCACCTTTTTATTCTTGTAATTATAATAAACTATGTTCTTGAAATATTACAACTTTTTCGTCGTAATTTTACTAGTTTTTCTAGTAATATGTTTTTTCTCATTATGACTTTTTTTTCGTTATTTTACGACTTTTTCTTGTAATATTAAATTTTTTACTCGTAATATTACGACTTTATTCTCAAAATTTCAGATTTCTTTTTTTCCCTCAATGTGGCGCTGGTACTCTGTGAGACTGGAGCTGCTCAGACTCAGCTGTGGAGGACAGCTCTCACACTGAAGGCTTCAGCCACAGTTCACTCTGTGGATGGAACAGACATGAATAAATATAGAAACATATAAACTATGACTGTGTTGATCTCAGGTTTGTGTGATAAGAACTGTTCATCTCTGGCTTTGATATGTGATACTCTAGTATTTACATGTGTGTTCTGTCATTCACGTCTGAATGGTTAAAATCATCTGTGACACGTGAGGTTTCAAGCTTCTGAGTTGTGATTCGTCGAAGGCCTCAACAGGAGAATCCAAAGACCAGACCGGTTTGAACTGGATTTGGTTTGTGAGACAGTGAATGCAGAAGTGAGCCGACTCACTTCATCGAGCTGCTCTGAGAACGTTTGTCTCCTGAACTGAAAACATGATTCACCGATTAAAAACTTTGACCTCTGTGACGTTTGAGGAGCAGAGACGATTTACACCCTCGTGCTGCAGATTTACCGCCGTGTCCTTTGTCTCTGAATCACAGTTCGGTTTCTGAGTTTCAAAACTTTCATCACACAGATGAAAACATGAGGATCCCGACCCGTCCGTCCTCACTGAGGCTGTGCTGCAGCGTTCGCTCAGTCAACGACATCTGCCCACTGTTCGTCTGACAGCTGAACCAGGACCAGCTGAACCAGGACCAGCTGAGCCAGGACCAGCTGAACCAGGACTAGCTGAGCCAGGACCAGCTGAGCCAGGACCAGCTGAGCCAGGACCAGCTGAGCCAGGACCAGCTGAGCCAGGACCAGCTGAACCAGGACCAGCTGAACCAGGACCAGCTGAACCAGGACCAGCTGAGCCAGGACCAGCTGAGCCAGGACCAGCTGTTGCGGTGGCAACATGTCGGTTGATTGGCATTAAAAACAGGAATTGTTGAATAGAATTTATGAATGAACGATTAATCCATTCAAAAAAGGATTTACAAAAACAGAATGAACCATTTAGAAATACTTTATCTAATGAATGAATAAATAATAGAATTTGAAAAAGCGTTTTAAAAATGGGAAAACAAACCTGGATTCCCTCTAAAATCTGTTTCCTTTCTGAATGAAAGAATAAACGTTAATTTAGTGTTTAGTAGTGAGTTTTTGTAAATCTGTGTTTATTGATGGATTAATCGTTCATTTATAAACTCTTTTTACAATTCTTTCTTTTTAAAATTTGAAATGAAGGAAATGCTTCCTCACTCTTCCTGGGACGTCCCTGCTCCTGCGTACTCAGCTGACGCCTCCTGCATCAGACAGAACTGTGCCGTGGTTGAGTCTGTATCCTTCTTATCTGAATCAACCTTTAATACTTTCTGCTGGGTCAGCGGTGAATCAAGAGGCTGAGAGCGGGAAAGGTCCGGATCACCTGTTGAGGTGTAACAACGTGGGCGGAGTCATGTTTAACACAGACGTCAGAGTGATGACTTCAGCTACAGCTCGTTCTCCCACAGACGACGACAGCAAGCTGTTGGTTCAATAAAGAACCGTGTGGCCTGTGAACGTTTCAGCTGTAAAACTGTTCGACCTGCTCGTTCTTCTTCTGACGGATCATCAGCTGCTGAGAATCACCGTCTGGAAAAACACCACAGAACAAGAACGTCTGGTCCAAGACTCGTCAGCTGTTAGGGTCGAGTTTCAGTGTGTCAGCCGGAGGTCCAGAGAGAGGGATGGAAACAGAGCTGTGGTTCTGTATGAGAGAGAGCGAGGGAGGGAGAGGGAGGGAGAGAGAGAGAGAGAGAGAGAGGGAGGGAGGGAGAGAGAGAGAGAGAGGGAGAGAGAGAGGGAGAGAGAGAGAGGGAGGGAGGAGGAGAGCGAGGCGGAGAGAGGTAGAGGGAGAGAGAGAGGTAGAGGGAGAGAGAGAGAGAGGTAGAGGGAGAGAGAGAGGGAGAGGGAGGGAGAGAGAGAGGTAGAGGGAGAGGGAGAGAGGTAGAGGGAGAGGGAGAGAGGGAGAGAGAGAGAGGTAGAGGGAGAGGGAGAGAGGGAGAGAGGGAGACAGAGAGAGGTTTGCCGCAGTGCTCCACTGATCGTTCTCTGATCTCCTGCAGTGACTCCTCCTCCTCCTCCTCCTCACCTCCTCCTGAACTCGGGGGTGGGGGGGGGGTGATCTGAGACTCCTGTTCCTGGTCACATGTTGTCAGGACACGATGACTCTCAGAGTTTAGATTCTTTTGTTCTGAAATGAGAAACAAACAGCTCCTCTCCTGAACTCCTGCTCCTCAGAGCGTGAGGAGTTTCAGCTGCAGGACTGAAGTGTGTGAGTGTGAAAACAGAAGGTGTGATGACATTGTTGCTGCTGAACAGGTAAAAACACCTTCAGAGTCTCACAGACGTTCTTCCTGTTATTTCATTTTTATTTGAGCGTTCAGAGACTCCTCTCCTAAAAGGCTGGTGGCTGTTGGAGACTCTTGGGTCGCGGCGGTTGAGACGTCTTGGTGGATGTGGGAGGGGCTGAAGGGGACCGGGGGAGGGGTGAAGGGAGGGGATCAGATGCGGATCTGGTAGCCATCGTTGAGAGTGCTGAGCTCTGGAGGTTTCCTCTCAACCGAGGCCGGTCTGAAAGATAAAAGATAAACACACTGAAAACACACAAGCTCCTTCATGATGACGGCCGTCTCCATTAGAACTGATTTTCCTTCAAGCTCCTCCAGTGTAAAGGTCTGTGTCCATGTGTAGTGTGATTATAGATCAGCTCTAGCTTCTATATTAATACTGTGAAAGTATCAAAGCCTCAGTCCACAGAGAAATGCACACAGCCTGTATTCAGAAACTGAGCCTTAAAACCAGCCGTCAGGACTTCTGGAACTTTGTGATGTCACAACAAAGCAGTCACCAAGCCCCGCCCACCTGGACCCACCATCCAAACCTTGCAGGATTTGGTTTCTCTGAGTGTTTTTACCTGAAATCTGCTTTATTTTTATTGGATCAGTCAGAAAACAGTCAGCCAATCAGAAGAGAGGCTCAGAGCCTCCTCTCTTCTGATTGGCTCACCGACCTGTTGTTACTAGAGCTGCAGAGAGAAGCCTGAGAGAGGAGATGTAAAACTACACTGAGATGGTTTTTATATCTTCTGATGGATCAACACTTCAAATAAAACACAGAAGAAGAAGAAACGTGGAGCTTTAAACTCTCACAGCTAAAAACATACGACTCTCTCAAACGATTAGTTCCATTATTGATTAATGTGATCAGTTCCTTCTTGATGGGCAGAGCAGGAGTAGAAACTACAGCCTGTCTGAAATGGGTCCACGCTTCAGTAGACAGAGTGACTTCATGACGACACCAGATCAGTACAAACAACGCAGCCATGAAAAGCTTCAACATCTCAGTCTGTTTAATCTGATCTGATGAGTTTTTATTGTTTTTAAAGGTTATTTTAACATCATCTTAATGTTCTGTGTGATTGTACTTCCCTTCCTCTGTAAAACACCAGCTCAGTCACTTCCAGTCGGTTTGTTCATGTTTTAAGGTGGAATTGCTCCGTGTGTCTGCGGCGCCTTAAGGACACGTGCGGTGCAACATGGTGAGTAATGCTGAAGATAAACAGAAGTGTTACTGTCCCTTTAAGAGGAAGAAAAGAGCAGGATGAAAGATGGAAAATAAGAAGGAGCCTCAGCTCTGTCTCTCTCAGAAAGTCATCAGATTTAATCCTCCCCTCTCTCCTCTCCTTCCTGCCCTCATGTCCTCTCTCTCTTCTTCCTCTCCTCTCTTCATCCTGTCTTTTATTTCTTTGTATTTCTGTCTGGAAGCTTTCGAGCTCTGACACATCAAGGACAGAATGTTATTCGTATAAGTCGGTGTGGAGAGTTAACAGCCTTTTTATTCCTCCTCCTCTCCACCTTTTCTTTTTCCAGCCTCTTTTCTCCTCCTGTCATCTTTCACATTCTCTCTCTTCTCCAGTTTTCTTCTTCTTCTTTCCTTCTCTACACTCCTCTCCTCTTTTTATCTGGCCTTCTTCTCTTCATCCTGTTTGTTGTTTTCCAGTCTGTCACTTCTTCCTCTTCCTCCTCTCAGATAAATGTATTTTAAATCTATTTTCATGTTGTTCTGAATATGTGAACATATTATATATTACATGTGAGGTGTTTGTGTTTTTCAGGCTCCTGCAGCTGAAATAAACCCTGTGCTGTTCAAGTGTCGGAGCGCTCGGCAGCTGGTTATTACACTGTCTGAGAGGGAAGCGGCGACACGCTGCTAAGTGCTCTGTTGATAAGAGTAATGGCTTTTTAAGCACCACGTTCAGGAGGTTCAGCTCCTGGTGGTTTACACTGAAACAACCCACTGAAGAAGATGAAAAGAACCGATGAGTCGTCACGTCTCATTTGACTCCAACAGAAACAGTCGGACTCTGACGCTCCTGTTCCCCTGCAGATCTGACTGTAGATCTAATGAGAGAAATCCGAGTGTGAACTGGTTTCAGCCGTTTCACCTCCTCTATGATCATCAGCAAAATGATTTCTATTCTGCACAAGTATCTTTCCAGTTTACAGGATGAGCTGAAACACATCAGTGTTGGCTGCAGGTGTTTAAACCTGGGAAGCACAGGTGAGGACAGTCTACGATCCAAGACTACAAAAAGTGTGAGTGTGTCCCACAGATCTGAAATCTGCTCGTGTTGGTGGGGCAACAACAAATAAGTGTGAACGTTAAACACACACCTGAATAATGAAACAGCTGAACCTCTCAGGAGAAAGGTCACTGCAGTGCCACGTCACCAGGACTGTCACTAACTCTGCTGCAGAGAGTGTGTGTGTGTGTGTGTGTGTGTGTGTGTGTGTGTGTGTGTGTGTGTGTGTGTGTGTGTGTGTGTGTGTGGTGACTCTGCAGGATGGCCGGGCTGCAGCTGCTGTCCAAGTCAGATTGGGTTACATCCCGCCACACAGCTGCCAGCACAACACACACACACACTCAGCATCCTGAATGTGTGTGTGTGTGTGTGTGTGTGTGTGTGTGTCACTGAACCAGGGTGTCGACTCATCCTGTTTTTAAGAGCTGTAGTTGCTGACAGAGTTGTGACTGTTTATTAATTGGACCTAATTCAGTCTTTGTGATTATTTGACCCTCAGAAAACAACAACTGTCTCTTTGTGTTTACCAAGTTTAAATGAAGAGAAGTCTATTTGAAGGGAATCACACAGGGACAAATAACTATCCTTCAGACCTGCAGGACTGTGTTCATACTGAATGAAAGACAAGCTGCTAAATATTCAAACATCTTCAGTCACGTCCTTCCATTTGTATCTGGAGCGACGCAGCTTCAGTTCAGTGTCGCCTCCTCGTCTTTACTTAAAGTGAGCAACTTCATTTTAACGTAAACGTAACAACTTTAACTTAAAACTAACAGTTATATTTACTTAGTTTTATTAACTAAGATCAACTCGTCTCATTTTACAGGGAAGGATTCCTGTTTCACTTGAAGCATCAGCTACTTCACATCCAGTATCTCAGACAGGAAGAGAGCCGCTCTGACACACACACACACACACACACACACACACACACACACACACACACAGAGCTGAACAGGACAAGGACTCGTCTGCCTGGTGATAATGCTGAGCTGTCGGCATCAAACACACACACACTCACACACACGCAAGCTCTTCAAAGTCAGCTGTAGGTTGGGATTAGTGCCTGTGAGTGGCTCTGGATCTGTTGCCCCCCCCCCCCCCGTTTCTCTTCACCCCCCCCCCCACACACACACACACACACACACACGCACACACACACACACACACACACACACACACACACACACACACACAGGATGGGTTGTTACCATCCAAATGTCAGAACAATGAATTCACCTTCAGTCTAAACTCTCCTTGACCTGAGCAGCAGAGCCCTGGGGGAGGGGGGGGGCTTTAGAGACCTTTATTCTGAAAATCTTGTTAGCTGCTAAAACAGAGGGAATGGTCTAGAAAAGACCACACACACACACACACACACACACACACACACACACACACACACACACACACAGTCCTGAGGCAGCAGTGGAAAACACTTACGATTTGTCTCTGCGGTGTGTGATGCGTCGTTGAGGACTGCTCTGACGTCGCCGCGGTGATAAGGATTTTCCCCGGCTCCGCTCTTTAATTGGTGACTGAGCGCTGGATGATTTCAGGATCTAACAATGAAATAAAAACAGAATCGACATGAATCAGTGTTCAGGGAATGAAGCTTGACCTGCTCTGCAGCTCCACAGCTGATCAGTTCTCAGGAGCCCACTGATCAATACCTCGGACCAATCAGCAGACAGGCCAAGTCAGAGAGCAGCTGAAGAAGAACATCTATGTCTATACTTTTTCAGAGAGTTGGTGGAGAGCCAATCAGAGCTGAGAGTGAATGCTGGACACTCCTCGTGGTCGTATCCCTCCGCCGCTCAGACTAGTTCCAGGTCACATCCCTGTTTATCCAGAGTCAGAGAAAATATGAACCATTTGTGTGAAATTTTGTCATAATTGCTGTGTGACCTTTGACCTTTGAGCACCAACATCTAATGAGTTCATCCTTGAGTCCTGGTGAATGTTTGAGCCAAATCTGAAGAAGTTCCCTCAAGGTGTTACGGAGATATCGTGACCTCCGGCTCTGGAGGACTCAAGGATGAGCCCATTAGATTTTGGTGGTCAAAGGTTAAAGGTCAGTGTGACCTCAAGACTTCTCACAACATTTCACACACACGGTTCATATTTTCTCTGACTCTGGATAAACAGGATGTAACCCAGAACTAGTGTGAGTGGCGGAGGGATACGACCATGAGGAGGGGGTTCTAGTTTTTTAATGTCGTTCAGCTCTCGTCACCACGCCGGTCAGAGAGCACAGCTCCCAGCTCTGACGCACCTAAATGGAATGCAGCCCTCATTAATGTCAGAACATCCACCATGTGAGAGACAAACTGAAGTCGGCCATGTTTGACCTTCAGTATAAAACCTGATGACCATGTAAGACTCACACGTCACGTCTGAACGGAGAGGATGAATGTTCATGTGAAAACTACTGTTCACGTCTGTCGGTGACGTCGTCAGTAAACGTGGTGGAGACGGTTTATTACAGAACACGTGCTGCGTCTCTATTTACACCCCGAGTCACTTTCACCATCGACTGAACCTCTGCAGACGAGCCACTGTTCAGCTGCAGGGTGTGTGTGTGTGTGTGTGTGTGTGTAAAGCTATCATTAAGAAGTCAGTGGGAGGAGAGAGCTGCAGGATGAACATGGAAGGCAAGTTTTCCTGGACAAAGCAAAAGCCAGGAAGTGACTGATGTTTCCCAGCTGGTCACGTTCGTCATGTGGTTCTGAAAGATATGTGGGTCAGTGTGTGTGTGTGTGTGTGTGTGTGTGTGTGTGTGTGTGTTTCCAACCCCACTCGTCTCACAGCCTTTTTTTAGCTCGATGCTTCAACTATGTTTTGAAACAGTGAAACCGTAGATGAGCATCTCTCGATCTACACGTCTTCACATTCCTCACATTTACAGTCTATACTTGTGAGGACCGGTCCTGACAAACTGCCACTCAACACACACACACACACACACACACACACACACACACACACACAGAACTCTATAATAAATTCACATTCTCTGGAGGACAGTAGAGATTATGACAAAGTCTCATAAACCACTGCACAGCTCAATACATACATGTACATGTGTGTGTGACAGCTGCAAACTCACTGACCTACATTTCCTGCTGACATGCAATGCTGTCTGTACACACACACACACACACACACACACACACACACACACACACACACACACACACACACACACACACACACACACACACACACACACTCCTTCCTTCCCCATCATGCCCTAAATAATTCCTGACAGTTCATATTCCATGTTCCTCCTGATGGAAACAACATCACTCCGGTCACATGGAAACATGTAATAAAGGTGTTTCCTTTGTTGGTCCATGAGAGTTTCTGAGGAAACAACAACAACCTGCTGAAGAAACTGAAACCTGGAGACAAACAAACAAACAAACAAACAAACACTGAAACACAAAGACAAGCTGCAGGAAGCTGCTGCATCAAGTCATCTTGGTTGAATAAATGAAACCAGCAGAAGTCTCTGTTTACTCTGTGTGTGTGTGTGTGTGTGTGTGTGTCTCATGTTTGTTCTCTGGTCCAGCTGTGAAACAACATGTCTGTCTTGTACCTTGGCAGATAAACGCTCCATCAGTCGACCCACTGTTTGGATGCCCACTTCTGTTTCCACCCTCCACTCCTCAGTGTTTTTATAACCATCCTGGTTGATTTATATTGTGGTTTTGTTCCTCTGCTGGTGCCAGGTCTGTCCTCCTGCTGCAGGCTGCACTCTCACTCACTGTCTTCACTGACTGTTCTTGTAGCTGTAACTGTACATGTTCATTTCTGATCCGTATCAATGATAATGACGGATATAATGTAGTTTTATACCCTGTTTACAGCAGAATTAGCAGCTTTCTTTAAACGAGGGTCAACCTGCTAAAGAGAGGAACAGTGAGCTGCTAGCCGCCGCGCGCTAACTGAAGCCGCTTCCACAGAGACAGACTCCGACTGTGTCTTAGATCTAACAAACAGTCAGACTGCAGAGAGACTGAATTCATCTGTTTAGTTCTTGACGATCTTAAAGCGGACTGTGGTGCAATGAATGAATTCTTGTTGTTGGGTGCTACTGGTCAGGGCAGGTGTCATTGATTGTTACCATGGTAACATTGGTCTTAGGCCTGAGTTACCCTGGAGGTAAAGTGTCTTATGATTGTTCCCTTTTCTACTGCCGACAAAAGCCTGATGTCAGTTCGTCTTAGGCTGCGTCCACACCACCTCCTCTTTTGTTTCCTCCTCCGTCCACACGACTCCACAGTTTAGTTTGAAAACTCTGGCGTTGTGTTGTAGTCTGGACAGAAAGTGAGACCTTTGTAAACAATGAGGTCACAGCCACGGTCTCTCCTGATTGGCTCTCATCAGCCTGGACTACCAGTGGTGAATACAACATGATGATGGATGACAGAGTTACTGACCTTGCTGTCTTTGCAGCTGCTGCTCACTTACATTCTCTGTTTTAATGCTACAACTGCAGAGGAGACAATCTACTTCCTGTTTACACCGGTTCGCACATGCTCAGTGTGGGTCAATGGTCAGAGCCAAAACAAGCGTCTGGACGGAGATCGTTTATGTTTGAAAACACAGTTTTAAAATGAACATGAACGTCTGTGTGTCTGTGCGTCTGCAGCTCGTACCTTCATCCTCATGTCACGACCGTGTTTCTCCAGCTCCTTCCTCATCTCCTGAGCTCCCAGTCTGGCAGCGTTCAGCACCAGATGCTTCCATTCGATTGGCTGGAAGACGTGAGGGTCGTGAGGCACGTACAGGCCGATCTTCACCTGGGAGAGAGAGCAGAGGGTGTGTTTAAAAACCACCGCCCCTGCACCTCCACGGCCCATCTCCGTCCTCCTCTTCCTCCCTCCCCCCTCCTACCTTCTTCAGAGTGTGCTGGTATCTCTTGTAGGAGCTCTCGAACTCGGCCACCAGTTCTCCCAGTGTGCGGTGGGTCAGCGGTTTGTCCATCAGGTCCTGGCGGCGGCTCATGCCCAGCGATCCGTAGCGCCCGTTGCAGTAGACGCCCAGCACGACATGATGGAAGCAGTGGCCCGAAAACTGAGTCTTAAAGCTGATGGGGAAACGCTCGAGAGACGTGAGGCCGTTGGTCAGGTAGCTGGGCGACAGCGAGGGGTTAAGGAAGGATCTGGAGCTTCTTCTGCTGCTGCTGCTGCTGACTCACATTGTCACATGACTGAGCTGCTCATTTCACTACACACCTGAAGAAACACCTGAGACGGAAAGTGGAAGTGACTTTGTTTGGAAATGTTGCAACACAGAAGCTTGAGATCAGATTCGGTCTGACTCTCAGATAAACAGTGTGTGTGTGTGTGTGTGTGTGTGTGTGTGTGTGTGTGTGTGTGTGTGTGTGTGTGTGTGTGTGTGTGTGATAATAGCTCAGGTGGATTAAGGTGCAAATCTTGACCTTTTCCTCTACGTGATTTCAGTGATTAAAAAGTGGATCCAAACGATGACTGAACGAGGTACATATTTAGCCAGCTCACACACACACACACACACACACACACACACACACACACACACACACACAGTTGTTCCTGACCGCTTCATTAAACAGATACACTTCCACGTGATGCCGCTAACAGTAAAGCGCTCTCTCTCTCAGCTGAGACAGTTGCCATAGAAACCACTACGCCTGTCATCAGCACCTATCACTCCCTCACACGCAGCGACGCTTCAGTCCGTCACAGTTCTTCCTCAGAGAAGTCGAGCTAACTGACAAACCTTTTATCTATGGATTTAATGCAGAGCTGATTCACTGTGACACTCCCCCACACCGCTGTCTCCCCCTCTCTCCCTCCCTCCCTCCCTCTCTCTCTCTCCCTCCCTCCCTCTCCCT